GTCCAGGTAGAGTTTATTGTGGATGGAAAAATTAGCTTTAAGCACAGTATAAGGGTGAAATATCGAGGCCTTTTGTTCATGCTGAGCTGAACATGTAAATGGATGCATAATAAATTGCTGAATCTCGTGTCAATTTGTTGAATTGTGAACTGGAAACACGAGATGACTCAAAATAGCATGTTCTGAATTCGAGAGCATTTTCGTTTCCTCAAGCCTGAATAAGAAATGTGTTCAGCCCATTATCTTTAAGGTGTTGAAGGAATGGTTGTTCAATTTTCCCACACTCGTATGAGTAGAATTGACGTTTTCATCGGATTTTGCATAGCCTTGAGGATACTTTTTGAAAGGCAAGACTATGTGAAATTCACTCATGTGATTGTAAAGAAATTCAACTTCCACAAGACATTTTACACATTCATTCTAGAAGACCTAAGACAATGTACATTGTTTATTTTACTGTTGTGATGTTTCAAGATGATGCGCTTGGTGCTCTTGTAGCGAGCCATTCGCAGACCTTTATTCTGGCCAAGGAGCTTCTTCAGCGTGCTGATGCCGTCGGGCAACAACTACTCAACCTGGCAGCCGAAACAGAAGCCTTGCTTCCTTCAGACTCTGACGCAAACACCTTAGATTGGAATGTCCATGATGATTCAGGTGAGAGGGTATTCATTTCTATTTGCAATACTGATCATTTATATATTCCAGCGGAATTGTTTCGTCAACTCAACTCGAAACAAAATGTTAGCCGTATTTATTCATATACACATCCAACATGTCAAATGTCAGTTTATAAAGTTGGTTTATTTTTGTTAGAAAGTAGCATGTGTGTCTATGTGATGTCACATATTTAGAAGAATAGCTTATTTATAAAATATTGAAACTGATTTACCTGCCGAGTATGGCGTGTGTTGCAAGTAGTAATATATGTGCGATATATCAAAATTTGACCTAAATTTATCACCGATTTGAATTGAGTTTGATTATGAAATCGCTCTTGAATTCTTACTGCTCGTGTATTTATGTCTGCTTATGCCTTTCTCCAACGATTCCCCTCATAATCCCATTAAAACTATGATACCATCCAATAGTCTCACAAATAAAGAACAGTTAAGCCATGGGGAAA